GAACATAAGCGCCCGCCCCTTGTCAATCAGTCACCATATAATTTTGGATTGGTTGTTGTGGTGAAGTTTTCCACCAATAGGAGAGATGTTGTGGTGTGTTTTTTTTTTCTTTTGGCAAGCCTTTTCCGCCTGTAAGACCTGTCGCTAATGTCTGCATGCTATGTTTTCCTGTCTCATACAGCGCGATCGAGCGCCGAACGTGATCAAAATAAGCAGAAAAAAAGTATCGCGGACATAATTTATCATAACTCTGGTTTTATTTGGCCTATCAACACAATTTAAAAACTGGTATATACGTTGAGGTCCTCACTTTTGAGATAAGTTGAAACGGAGAGTCAACGAGGCTCCGTCTTGCAGCTACATCCGGTTAAATATGTCATGTGACTTGAACGCACACACAGACACACACACACGCACACACACACACACACACACACACACACACACACACACACACACACACACACTCAGAGTCTGGTTTTTAGCACCTGCAAAAACATGCTATTTACATATTTGACAAGAATGCAGAGGCTCCTTTTGCCCCTGAAAAAAATCAAATTTCAAACACAACTTGACTGGTCATTTCTCCAAAAGACAACCATGAAGCTCCATCCAAACCTGAAGCAGGCAGTTGGTGCATGTGTACAGTAACCTGAGGGGAGTGAGGTGACTGCTTCTGAGGAGAACATGAGCAGTGAAGATTCACCTTGGAGCTAGAACAGAGACATGCACATGATTATACAGGGGCAGGGGCTCAAGTTTTTTCCAGTCGTTTATACAATATGGAAATTAATGTGAAATTAAAACACAAAGTATTAATAGAAAGGTAATGACTGTCCTGTGTAGGTGACAGTGATATCCAATAGGCTAGGCACTCACGAGGCTGGCTGTGGCAAGTGTAAGTGAAAGCAACACGCACTGGCAGGAAGAACAGCAAACGCCGATGAAGGAAAAGGGTCTTTGCAGTGATGGGCGTTACCAGAGAGGGCGATGGCCAGAGGACACAAATGGGACGGGGAGGCAGCACGTTGGGGGGGGGACGCGACACGGCTCGGGCCCGCCAGTGCCCCAACGGGGTCCTAGTTTGTTGTTGTTGTTCATTCCTATTCAAACCACTATTTTATATCACTGCTAATACGCCAAGACCATTTTATGGAATTTAGCTTTATTATTTCTATACATTTTGCAAGGAAAGAAACCAAGGCCTTCACTAAAATTTCCATAAACTTTAGGAAAGGACCTCTGGTTGTTTAACGGGGTCATTACTGCAAAAACATATTCTTCCTAAATTTTGAAGGTCAAAGCTTAGATCCATTAGGTTTAAATAGAAAAAGCATTTAAATATGTTAGGATTATAGCATATGACAAATGTGTGCCTCTCAGTGGCCATAACTACTTTGTCTGCTGGCTCTGCAGTCGATTGACGTTCTCCAGCGTTCAAGTCACATGACATATTTAACCGGATGTAGCTGCAAGACGGAGCCTCGTTGATTCTCCGTTTCAACCTATCTTAAAAGTGAGGACCTCAAACTATATACCAGTTTTTAAATTGTGTTGATAGGCCAAATAAAACCAGAGTTATGATAAATTATGTCCACAATACTTTTTTTCTGCTTATTTTGATCACGTTCGGCGCTCGATCGCGCTGTATGAGACAGGAAAACATAGCATGCAGACATTAGCGACAGCTCTTACAGGCGGAAAAGACTTGCCAAAAGAAAAGAAAAAAACACACCACAACATCTCTCCTATTGTTGGAAAACTTCACCACAACAACCAATCCAAAATTATATGGTGACTGATTGACAAGGGGCGGGCGCTTACGTTCTCCCTGCAATATGAGAAGGGAGGGAGGGACTCTCAGCAGGGATGCAGTCTGGGACACGTAGTTGCAAACCTAGCGACTTTGTTGTTAGATTCAATGACTTTTCAGACCCCCTAACGACTTTTTTTTTAGAAAGAAAGGGAATTTTATCGACTTCTTCTGGAGTTTAGAGACTCTGACATGAAGCAGGCTTTCCTTACTGAGGAGTTGACAACGCTGCTAAGGGTGCAGAGCCACACATGCGCTCATAGCTCTGCATGGGAGACTGAAGCTGACAGAGCTGCAGCAGTTAGCAGGTTTCACCCTCAGAGACCACCAGGGGTCCATGTTGAGGCATTTTCAGTTTTTTTTTTTTTTTTGCCATAGACACTGTCAGCACAATCTGCAGTTACACTAACAAAAATGCTGCAAAAAACAAAGAATTATGGAAAAATTACACATGGACTGACATAGAGGAGGATCTACACAAGTTTTTTACATCATGTTTTACATCATGCATCATTTACATCATGTTTTTTTGTAGTGGCATAAATAAAAAGTGACATTTGTGAGACTATACAGTGTTTTGTAAATAATTTTACAAAGAACGCCTGGGCCATTGCCTGCATTTTGATGTAAATAGGGGTAAATTACTATGTTCTTTGGTAAAAATTTGCATATGTTTTGAAGTTTACAATTTTTATTTGAAGTTTAAGTTTTAAAAACAGTTCATCACACATATTTGTGGTTTTCACAGTAAAAATGTTACTTTTTTCCTCTCGGATTTTATGTTTTGTGTGTGAATTTGGGTCCATTGTGTAAATACAGTATGTCAAAATGATAAAATAACTGTAAATTCACACAGGTGAGGTTGTGCTCTAGGCGCCCCCTAGAACGTAAACCGTGGGGTGCAGCGTCATGATTTTTACAACTTTGAATAGCCATGGGGTGTAGATTGGCCTGAGCGAATTTGGTGTCAGTGGGACGAAAGCCTTAGGAGGAGTTAGCCACATTCCAATGTGTGCGAATCGGCAAAAAATGCAAAATAGCCCTTTAACCGTACATTTGACAGATACGCACACATTGACTTTTTTGTAGATCTTATTGAACTACACGTGTGTGTCGAATTGTGTGTCATTTTGACAAAACATACAGGCGTAGCACTCAACAATGTGTATTTTCACCTTAGGCGACAAGAAAAAATTGACTTTTTTCTCCTGCCATGGGGGGGCGCTCTTTTGGGGAGTAAAAATTCCTTCACAAATGTGTTGATGACTGGACATTGCATCATCCTAGAAAACTTGGAGGCCAGTGAGGACAAAAATAAAAAGTTATAAGACTATTAAATATGTGGATTTTAGGGTTATCTTTGGCGCCCCCTAGAACCTAAACCGTGGGGTGCAGCGTCATGATTTGAATAACTTTTAATGGCCATGGGGTGTAGATTGGCCTGAGCAAATGTGGTGCCGGTGGAACGAAAGCCTTAGGAGGAGTTAGCCATATTCCAATGTGTGCGGATCGGCAAAAATGCGGAATAACCCTTTAACCGTACATTTGACAGATACGCGCGCATTGACTTTTTCGTAGATCTTATTGAGTTACATGTGTGTGTCAATTTTTGTGTCATTTTGACAAAGCGTATAGGCGTGACACTCAACAATGTGTATTTTCACCTTAGGGGACAAGAAAAAATGGACTTTTTTCTCCTGCCATGGGGGGGCGCTCTTTTGGGGAGTAAAAATTCCTTCACAAATGTGTTGATGACTGGACATTGCATCATCCTAGAAAACTTGGAGGCCAGTGAGGACAAAAATAAAAAGTTATAAGACTTTTAAATATGTGGATTTTAGTGTTATCTAATGATCTAGTGATCGGCAAAAAATGCAAAATAACCCTTTAACCGTAATTTTGACAGATACGGCCGCACTGACTTTTTTGTAGATCTTATTGAGATACATATGTGTGTCAATTTTTGTGTCAATATGACAAAGCGTACAGGCGTGACAGTCAATAGTGTGAATTTCCACCTTAGGGGGCGCTATGGAGCCATTTTGCATTTTATTGTTTGGGCGACTTCAGAATATCGAATTTTTCACCAGGCCCGGTCGTCCTGCCAAATTTCATGAGTTTTCGCCAGTGGGAAGTGGGCCATTTTCCAGTTCAAAGGGGAGGAAAAAGAAGAAAGAAAGAAAGAAAGAAACAAAGAAAAACCACTTGAGGAACAACAGGGCCTACGCCCGGCTGCTCTGCAGCTGGCTCGGGCCCTAAAGAAACAAAGAAAAACCACTACAGGAATAACAGGGCCTACGCCCGGCTGCTCTGCAGCTGGCTCGGGCCCTAACTATCTATTTCTATTAATATTTTGTTTTTTAATTTCACATTAATTTCCATATTGTATAAACGACTGGAAAAAACTTGAGCCCCTGCCCCTGTATAATCATGTGCATGTCTCTGTTCTAGCTCCAAGGTGAATCTTCACTGCTCATGTTCTCCTCAGAAGCACTCACCTCACTCCCCTCAGGTTACTGTACACATGCACCAACTGCCTGCTTCAGGTTTGGATGGAGCTTCATGGTTGTCCGTGGGGTGCAGCGTCATGATTTGTACAACTTTGAATGGCCATAGGGTGTAGATTGGCCTGAGCAAATTTGGTGTCAATGGGACAAAAGGCCAGTGAGGACAAAAATAAAAAGTTATAAGACTTCAAAAAATGTGGATATTTGGGTCATCTTTGGCGCCCCCTAGAACGTAAACCGTGGGGTGCAGCATCATGATTTGAATAACTTTTAATTGCCATGGGGTGTAGATTTACCCTTTAACCGTACATTTGACAGATACGCGCGCATTGACTTTTTCGTAGATCTTATTGAGATACATGTGTGTGTCAATTTTTGTGTCATTTTGACAAAGCTAGAGGCGTGACACTCAACAATGTGTATTTTCACCTTAGGGGACAAGAAAAAATGGACTTTTTTCTCCTGCCATGGGGGGGGCGCTCTTTTGGGGAGTAAAAATTCCTTCACAAATGTGTTGATGACTGGACATTGCATCATCCTAGAAAACTTGGAGGCCAGTGAGGACAAAAATAAAAAGTTATAAGACTTTTAAATATGTGGATTTTAGGGTTATTTTTGGCGCCCCCTAGAACGTAAACTGTGGGGTGCAGCGTCATGATTTGAATAACTTTTAATGGCCATGGGGTGTAGATTGGCCTGAGCAAATGTGGTGCCGGTGGAACGAAAGCCTTTGGAGGAGTTAGCGAAATTCCAATGTGTGCGGATCAGCAAAAAATGCGAAATAACCCTTTAACCGTACATTTGACAGATACACCCGCACTGACTTTTTTGTAGATCTTATTGAGATACATATGTGTGTCAATTTTTGTGTCAATATGACAAAGCGTACAGGCGTGACACTCAACAATGTGTATTTTCACCTTAGGGGACAAGAAAAAATGGACTTTTTTCTCCTGCCATGGGGGGGCGCTCTTTTGGGGAGTAAAAATTCCTTCACAAATGTGTTGATGGCTGGACATTGCATCATCCTAGAAAACTTGGAGGCCAGTGAGGACAAAAATAAAAAGTTATAAGACTTTTAAATATGTGGATTTTAGTGTTATTTTTGGCGCCCCCAAGAACGTAAACCGTGGGGTGCAGCGTCATGATTTGAATAACTTTTAATGGCCACGGGGTGTAGATTGGCCTGAGAAAATGTGGTGCCGGTGGAACGAAAGCCTTCGGAGGAGTTAGCGAAATTCCAATGTGTGCGGATCGGCAAAAAATGCGAAATAACCCTTTAACCATACATTTGACAGATACGCCTTTGTCGCCGACTTTTTTGTAGATCTTATTGAGATACATATGTGTGTCAATTTTTGTGTCAATATGACAAAGCGTACAGGCGTGACAGTCAATAGTGTGAATTTACACCTTAGGGGGCGCTATGGAGCCATTTTGCATTTTATTGTTTGGGCGACTTCAGAATATCGAATTTTTCACCAGGCCCGGTCGTCCTGCCAAATTTCATGAGTTTTCGCCAGTGGGAAGTGGGCCATTTTCCAGTTCAAAGGGGAGGAAAAAGAAGAACTAGGGCCCCGTTGGGGCACTGGCGGGCCCGAGCCGTGTCACGCCGCCCCCAGCGCGACCGCCTCCCCCACCCGATCGCGTCACACTCAAGGTCCAAAGATGGTGTGCGCACTTGTTTGTGGTCATTTACCATTATAATGAACGGGAGGCGCAGTTTCTACCAAAACGCTCGCTGCAGAAAAACTCCATGTCCTATTTGAAAAAAGTCTGGACCATGAGTGAGGGCACAAACACAGCTAAGATATATCCAAATGGCAAGTTGCTCCTCCTTTCGCTTTTGCCGAGAGAGCAGTGCGTTTGAGCCATTGAATGATGAACAGGAAAAACTTGACTTTATTCTCCTGCCATGGGGGGCGCTCTTTTAAAGAGAAAAAACTCCTTCACAAATGTGTTGATGGCTGGACATTGCATCATCCTAGAAAACATGGAGGCCAGTGAGGACAAAAATAAAAAGTTATAAGACTTTTAAATATGTGGATTTTAGGGTTATATTTGGCGCCCCCTAGAACCTAAACCGTGGGGTGCAGCGTCATGATTTGAATAACTTTTAATGGCCATGGGGTGTAGATTGGCCTGAGGAAATGTGGTGCCGGTGGAACGAAAGCCTTCGGAGGAATTAGCGAAATTCCAATGTGTGCGAATCTGCAAAAAATGCGAAATAACCCTTTAACCGTACATTTTACAGATACGTGGCCATTGACTTTTTCGAAGATCTTATGTAAATACACGTGTATGTAAAATTTTGTGTCAATACGACAAAACATACAGGCGTAGCACTCAACAATGTGTATTTTCACCTTAGTGGACAAGAAAAAATTGACTTTTTTCTCCTGCCATGGGGGGCGCTCTTTTGCCGAGTAAAAATTCCTTCACAAATGTGTTGATGGCTGGACATTGCATCATCCTAGAAAACTTGGAGGCCAGTGGGGACAAAAATAAAAAGTTATAAGACTTTTAAATATGTGGATTTTACGGTTATCTTTGGCTCCCCCTAGAACCTAAACCGTGGGGTGCAGCGTCATGATTTGAATAACTTTTAATGGCCATGGGGTGTAGATTGGCCTGAGCAAATGTGGTGCCGGTGGAACGAAAGCCTTCGGAGGAGTTAGCGAAATTCCAATGTGTGCGGATCGGCAAAAAATGCGGAATAACCCTTTAACCGTACATTTGACAGATATGCGGCCATTGACTTTTTCGTAGATCTTATTGAGATACATGTGTGTGTCAATTTTTGTGTCATTTTGCCAAAGCGTACAGGTGTTACACTCAACAATGTGTATTTTCACCTTAGGGGACAAGAAAAAATGGACTTTTTTCTCCTGCCATGGGGGGGCACTCTTTTGGGGAGAAAAAATTCCTTCACAAATGTGTTGATGGCTGGACATTGCATCATCCTAGAAAACTTGGAGGCCAGTGAGGGCAAAAATAAAAAGTTATAAGACTTTTAAATATGTGGATCTTAGGGTTATCTTTGGCGCCCCCTAGAACCTAAACCGTGGGGTGCAGCATCATGATTTGAATAACTTTTAATGGCCATGGGGTGTAGATTGGCCTGAGCAAATGTGGTGCCGGTGGAACGAAAGCCTTCGGAGGAGTTAGCGAAATTCCAATGTGTGCGGATCGGCAAAAAATGCGAAATAACCCTTTAACCGTACATTTGACAGATACGCCCGCACTGACTTTTTTGTAGATCTTATTGAGATACATGTGTGTGTCAATTTTTGTGTCATTTTGACAAAGCGTACAGGCGTGACAGTCAATAGTGTGAATTTTCACCTTAGGGGGCGCTATGGAGCCATTTTGCATTTTCTTGTTTGGGCGACTTCGGAATATCAAATTTTTCACCAGGCCCGGTCGTCCTGCCAAATTTCATGAGTTTTCGCCAGTGGGAAGTGGGCCATTTTCCAGTTCAAAGGGGAGGAAAAATAATAACTAGGACCCCGTTGGGGCACTGGCGGGCCCGAGCTGTGTCGCGTCCCCCCCCCAACGCGCTGCCTCCCCGTCCCATTTGTGTCCTCTGGCCATCGCCCTCTCTGGTAACGCCCATCACTGCAAAGACCCTTTTCCTTCATCGGCGTTTGCTGTTCTTCCTGCCAGTGCGTGTTGCTTTCACTTACACTTGCCACAGCCAGCCTCTTGAGTGCCTAGCCTATTGGATATCACTGTCACCTACTCAGGACAGTCATTACCTTTCTATTAATACTTTGTTTTTTAATTTCACATTAATTCCCATATTGTATAAACAACTGGAAAAAACTTGAGCCCCTGCCCCTGTATAATCATGTGCACGTCTCTGTTCTAGCTCTAAGGTGAATCTTCACTGCTCATGTTCTCCTCAGAAGCAGTCACCTCACTCCCCTCAGGTTACTGTACACATGCACCAACTGCCTGCTTCAGGTTTGGATGGAGCTTCATGGTTGTCTTTTGGAGAAATGACCAGTCAAGTTGTGTTTGAAATTTGATTTTTTTCAGGGGCAAAAGGAGCCTCTGCATTCTTGTCAAATATGTAAATAGCATGTTTTTGCAGGTGCTAAAAACCAGACTCTGAGTGTGTGTGTGTGTGCGTGTGTGTGTGTGTCTGTGTGTGTGTGTGTGTGTGTGTGTGTGTGTGTGTGTGTGTGTGTGTGTGTGTGTGTGCGTTCAAGTCACATGACATATTTAACCGGATGTAGCTGACAGAGCTGCAGCAGTTAGCAGGTTTCACCCTCAGAGACCACCAGGGGTTCATGTTGAGGCATTTTCAGTTTTTTTTTTTTTTTTTTGCCATAGACACTGTCAGCACAATCTGCAGTTACACTAACAAAAATGCTGCAAAAAACAAAGAATTATGGAAAAATTACACATGGACTAACATAGAGGAGGATCTACACAAGTTTTTTACATCATGTTTTACATCATGCATCATTTACATCATGTTTTTTTGTAGTGGCATAAATAAAAAGTGACATTTGTGAGACTATACAGTGTTTTGTAAATAATTTTACAAAGAACACCTGGGCCATTGCCTGCATTTTGATGTAAATAGAGGTAAATTACTATGTTCTTTGTTAAAAATTTGCATATGTTTTGAAGTTTACAATTTTTATTTGAAGTTTAAGTTTTAAAAACAGTTCATCACACATATTTGTGGTTTTCACAGTAAAAACGTTACTTTTTTCCACTCGGATTTTATGTTTTGTGTGTGAATTTGGGTCCAATGTGTAAATATAGTATGTCAAAATGATAAAATAACTGTAAATTGACACAGGTGAGGTTGTGCTGAAAAAAATGATACCAGGCAAGGCAAGGTAAAAATTTTGTGAGAGGAAATATAAAGGTAAAATCTAAAGTAGTCAAAAACGGCCAATAGTGACTCACAGACTCCACAGACAAGTCCCTTTGGCGCCACTCAGTGGGCAAAACTACTTTGTCTACTGTAATGTATATTTGGGTCATCTTTGGCGCCCCCTAAAACGTAAACCGTGGGGTGCAGCGTCATGATTTTTACAACTTTGAATGGCCATGGAGTGTAGATTGGCCTGAGCAAATTTGGTGTCAGTGGGACGAAAGCCTTAGGAGGAGTTAGCGAAATTCCAATGTGTGCGAATCGGCAAAAAATGCAAAATAGCCCTTTTACCGTACATTATACAGATACGCGCTCTTTGACTTTTTCGTAGATCTAATTGAGATACACATGATTGTCAATTTTTGTGTCATTTTGCCAAAGCGTACAGGCGTGACAGTCAACAATGTGTATTTTCACCTTAGGGGACAAGAAAAAATGGACTTTTTTCTCCTGCCATGGGGGGGCGCTCTTTTAGGGAGTAAAAATTCCTTCACAAATGTGTTGATGGCTGGACATTGCATCATCCTAGAAAACTTGGAGGCCAGTGGGGACAAAAATAAAAAGTTATAAGACTTTTAAATATGTGGATTTTACGGTTATCTTTGGCTCCCCCTAGAACCTAAACCGTGGGGTGCAGCGTCATGATTTGAATAACTTTTAATGGCCATGGGGTGTAGATTGGCCTGAGCAAATGTGGTGCCGGTGGAACGAAAGCCTTCGGAGGAGTTAGCGAAATTCCAATGTGTGCGGATCGGCAAAAAATGCGGAATAACCCTTTAACCGTACATTTGACAGATACGCGCGCATTGACTTTTTCGTAGATCTTATTGAGATACATGTGTGTGTCAATTTTTGTGTCATTTTGCCAAAGCGTACAGGTGTTACACTCAACAATGTGTATTTTCACCTTAGGGGACAAGAAAAAATGGACTTTTTTCTCCTGCCATGGGGGGGCGCTCTTTTGGGGAGTAAAAATTCCTTCACAAATGTGTTGATGGCTGGACATTGCATCATCCTAGAAAACTTGGAGGCCAGTGAGGGCAAAAATAAAAAGTTATAAGACTTTTAAATATGTGGATCTTATGGTTATCTTTGGCGCCCCCTAGAACCTAAACCGTGGGGTGCAGCGTCATGATTTGAATAACTTTTAATGGCCATGGGGTGTAGATTGGCCTGAGCAAATGTGGTGCCGGTGGAACGAAAGCCTTCGGAGGAGTTAGCGAAATTCCAATGTGTGCGGATCGGCAAAAAATGCGAAATAACCCTTTAACCGTACATTTGACAGATACGCCCGCACTGACTTTTTTGTAGATCTTATTGAGATACATGTGTGTGTCAATTTTTGTGTCATTTTGACAAAGCGTACCGGCGTGACAGTGAATAGTGTGAATTTTCACCTTAGGGGGCGCTATGGAGCCATTTTGCATTTTCTTGTTTGGGCGACTTCGGAATATCAAATTTTTCACCAGGCCCGGTCGTCCTGCCAAATTTCATGAGTTTTCGCCAGTGGGAAGTGGGCCATTTTCCAGTTCAAAGGGGAGGAAAAATAATAATAATAATAATAATAACAAAAGAAGGAAACTACAGGAACAAGAGGGCTCTCGCAGCTGCTTAGCAGCTACGCTCGGGCCCTAATAACTAGGACCCCGTTGGGGCACTGGCGGGCCCGAGCCGTGTCGCGTCCCCCCCCCAACGTGCTGCCTCCCCGTCCCATTTGTGTCCTCTGGCCATCGCCCTCTCTGGTAACGCCCATCACTGCAAAGACCCTTTTCCTTCATCGGCGTTTGCTGTTCTTCCTGCCAGTGCGTGTTGCTTTCACTTACACTTGCCACAGCCAGCCTCGTGAGTGCCTAGCCTATTGGATATCACTGTCACCTACACAGGACAGTCATTACCTTTCTATTAATACTTTGTGTTTTAATTTCACATTAATTTCCATATTGTATAAACGACTGGAAAAAACTTGAGCCCCTGCCCCTGTATAATCATGTGCATGTCTCTGTTCTAGCTCCAAGGTGAATCTTCACTGCTCATGTTCTCCTCAGAAGCACTCACCTCACTCCCCTCAGGTTACTGTACACATGCACCAACTGCCTGCTTCAGGTTTGGATGGAGCTTCATGGTTGTCTTTTGGAGAAATGACCAGTCAAATTGTGTTTGAAATTTGATTTTTTTCAGGGGCAAAAGGAGCCTCTGCATTCTTGTCAAATATGTAAATAGCATGTTTTTGCAGGTGCTAAAAACCAGACTCTGAGTGTGTGTGTGTGTGTGTGTGTGTGTGTGTGTGTGTGTGTGTGTGTGTGTGTGTGTGTGTGTGTGTGTGTGTCTGTGTGTGCGTTCAAGTCACATGACATATTTAACCGGATGTAGCTGCAAGACGGAGCCTCGTTGACTCTCCGTTTCAACTTATCTCAAAAGTGAGGACCTCAACCTATATACCAGTTTTTAAATTGTGTTGATAGGCCAAATAAAACCAGAGTTATGATAAATTATGTCCGCGATACTTTTTTTCTGCTTATTTTGATCACGTTCGGCGCTCGATCGCGCTGTATGAGACAGGAAAACATAGCATGCAGACATTAGCGACAGGTCTTACAGGCGGAAAAGGCTTGCCAAAAGAAAAAAAAAACACACCACAACATCTCTCCTATTGGTGGAAAACTTCACCACAACAACCAATCCAAAATTATATGGTGACTGATTGACAAGGGGCGGGTGCTTACGTTCTTCCTGCAACATGAGAAGGGAGGGAGGGACTCTCAGCAGGGATGCAGTCTGGGACACGTAGTTGCAAACCTAGCGACTTTGTTGTTAGATTCAATGACTTTTCAGACCCCCTAACGACTTTTTTTAGAAAGAAAGGGACTTTTATCTACTTCTTCTGGAGTTTAGAGACTCTGACATGAAGCAGGCTTTCCTTACTGAGGAGTTAGCAACGCTGCTAAGGGTGCAGAGCCACACATGCGCTCAGAGCTCTGCATGGGAGACTGAAGCTGACAGAGCTGCAGCAGTTAGCAGGTTTCACCCTCAGAGACCACCAGGGGTTCATGTTGAGGCATTTTTTTTTTTTTTTTTTTGTGCCATAGACACTGTCAGCACAATCTGCAGTTACACTAACAAAAATGCTGCAAAAAACAAAGAATTGTGGAAAAATTACACATGGACTGACATAGAGGAGGATCTACACAAGTATTTTACATCATGTTTTACATCATGCATCATTTACATCATGTTTTTTTGTAGTGGCATAAATAAAAAGTGACATTTGTGAGACTATACAGTGTTTTGTAAATAATTTTACAAAGAACGCCTGGGCCATTGCCTGCATTTTGATGTAAATAGAGGTAAATCACTATGTTCTTTGTTAAAAATTTGCATATGTTTTGAAGTTTACAATTTTTATTTGAAGTTTAAGTTTTAAAAACAGTTCATCACACATATTTGTGGTTTTCACAGTAAAAATGTTACTTTTTTCCACTCGGATTTTATGTTTTGTGTGTGAATTTGGGTCCATTGTGTAAATTCAGTATGTCAACATGATAAAATAACTGTAAATTCGCACAGGTGAGGTTGTGCTGAAAAAAATGATACCAGGCAAGGCACGTGATTGTCAAATTTTGTGTCAATATGACAAAGCGTATAGGCGTGAATCTCAACAATATGTATTTTCACCTTAAGGGACAAGAAAAAATTGACATTTTTCTCCTGCCATGGGGGGGGCGCTCTTTTGGGGAGTAAAAATTCCTTCACAAATGTGTTGATGGCTGGACATTGCATCATCCTAGAAAACTTGGAGGCCAGTGAGGACAAAAATAAAAAGTTATAAGACTTTTAAATATGTGGATTTTAGGGTTATCTTTGGCGCCCCCTAGAACCTAAACCGTGGGGTGCAGCGTCATGATTTTGATAACTTTTAATGGCCATGGGGTGTAGATTGGCCTGAGCAAATGTGGTGCCGGTGGAACGAAAGCCTTAGGAGGAGTTAGCCACATTCCAATGTGTGCGGATCGGCAAAAAATGTGGAATAACCCTTTAACCGTACATTTGACAGATACGCGCGCATTGACTTTTTCGTAGATCTTATTGAGTTACATGTGTGTGTCAATTTTTGTGTCATTTTGACAAAGCGTATAGGCGTGACACTCAACAATGTGTATTTTCACCTTAGGGGACAAGAAAAAATTGACTTTTTTCTCCTGCCATGGGGGGGCGCTCTTTTGGGGAGTAAAAATTCCTTCACAAATGTGTTGATGGCTGGACATTGCATCATCCTAGAAAACTTGGAGGCCAGTGAGGACAAAAATAAAAAGTTATAAGACTTTTAAATATGTGGATTTTAGTGTTATCTTTGGCGCCCCCTAGAACCTAAACCTTGGGGTGCAGCGTCATGATTTTGATAACTTTTAATGGCCACGGGGTGTAGATTGGCCTGAGCAAATGTGGTGCCGGTGGAACGAAAGCCTTCGGAGGAGTTAGCGAAATTCCAATGTGTGCGGATCGGCAAAAAATGCGAAATAACCCTTTAACCGTAATTTTGACAGATACGGCCGCACTGACTTTTTTGTAGATCTTATTGAGATACATATGTGTGTCAATTTTTGTGTCAATATGACAAAGCGTACAGGCGTGACAGTCAATAGTGTGAATTTCCACCTTAGGGGGCGCTATGGAGCCATTTTGCATTTTATTGTTTGGGCGACTTCAGAATATCGAATTTTTCACCAGGCCCGGTCGTCCTGCCAAATTTCATGAGTTTTCGCCAGTGGGAAGTGGGCCATTTTCCAGTTCAAAGGGGAGGAAAAAGAAGAAAGAAAGAAAGAAAGAAAGAAACAAAGAAAAACCACTTGGGGAATAATAGGGCCTACGCCCGGCTGCTCTGCAGCTGGCTCGGGCCCTAACTACGCCCGGCTGCTCTGCAGCTGGCTCGGGCCCTAATAACTAGGACCCCGTTGGGGCACTGGCGGGCCCGAGCCGTGTCGCGTCCCCCCCTCCCCCCCCCAACGTGCTGCCTTCCCGTCCCATTTGTGTCCTCTGGCCATCGCCCTCTCTGGTAACGCCCATCACTGCAAAGACCCTTTTCCTTCATCTGCGTTTGCTGTTCTTCCTGCCAGTGTGTGTTGCTTTCACTTACACTTGCCACAGCCAGCCTCGTGAGTGCCTAGCCTATTGGATATCACTGTCACCTACACAGGACAGTCATTAGCTTTCTATTAATACTTTGTGTTTTAATTTCACATTAATTTCCATATTGTATAAACGACTGGAAAAAACTTGAGCCCCTGCCCCTGTATAATCATGTGCATGTCTCTGTTCTAGCTCCAAGGTGAATCTTCACTGCTCATGTTCTCCTCAGAAGCACTCACCTCACTCCCCTCAGGTTACTGTACACATGCACCAACTGCCTGCTTCAGGTTTGGATGGAGCTTCATGGTTGTCTTTTGGAGAAATGACCAGTCAAGTTGTGTTTGAAATTTGATTTTTTTCAGGGGCAAAAGGAGCCTCTGCATTCTTGTCAAATATGTAAATAGCATGTTTTTGCAGGTGCTAAAAACCAGACTCTGAGTGTGTGTGTGTGTGTGTGTGTGTGTGTGTGTGCGTGTGTGTGTGTGTCTGTGTGTGCGTTCAAGTCACATGACATATTTAACCGGATGTAGCTGCAAGACGGAGCCTCGTTGACTCTCCGTTTCAACTTATCTCAAAAGTGAGGACCTCAACCTATATACCAGTTTTTAAATTGTGTTGATAGGCCAAATAAAACCAGAGTTATGATAAATTATGTCCGCGATACTTTTTTTCTGCTTATTTTGATCACGTTCGGCGCTCGATCGCGCTGTATGAGACAGGAAAACATAGCATGCAGACATTAGCGACAGGTCTTACAGGCGGAAAAGGCTTGCCAAAAGAAAAAAAAAACACACCACAACATCTCTCCTATTGGTGGAAAACTTCACCACAACAACCAATCCAAAATTATATGGTGACTGATTGACAAGGGGCGGGCGCTTACGTTCTTCCTGCAACATGAGAAGGGAGGGAGGGACTCTCAGCAGGGATGCAGTCTGGGACACGTAGTTGCAAACCTAGCGACTTTGTTGTTAGATTCAATGACTTTTCAGACCCCCTAACGACTTTTTTTTAGAAAGAAAGGGACTTTTATCGACTTCTTCTGGAGTTTAGAGACTCTGACATGAAGCAGGCTTTCCTTACTGAGGAGTTAGCAACGCTGCTAAGGGTGCAG